GCATGCCAGCAAACAAAAATATATTGCTTTTCCAGATAGGAAAGGTATCGTGGTCTAGGAATGGTAACGTTCGAAAGGACTCGCTTATAGCCTGCCAAGCTCTCGCCTGGAGAACCAGCTGAACTGCCAATTTATTCGGGAGGCGAAGCGAACGTCAGGGAAACCATCGGACTGGTCAACAGGCGAAGCAACACTGGTCAAGGCAACTTGTCAGTTGCATGGGATAATTGAAGTGTGGATCACAGTTGGTCCAAGCAAAAACAAAGGATGCATATGGCTGCGCAAAATTTAGTTGAAAAATGATGACAACGAAATTTTAAGTTAACAGTACTGGCAGTAAATGATAAAGTAATGTTTTAATCAATAATAAAAAAAGACGAATTTACTGGCCCAATTTTTTAAGCAAATGCAGTGCATGTGTATATTATGTTTGATGAAACAAAATATCTTGGTGCATCGCAAAAAAAAATTGCGGAGCTGGCTAAAAGAAGATGCGCTCATTCATGACTGACATTTTTACAGACCTATTGCTTCAAAAAAAATATGAATAAAATATTCCGGTTAACCGCAGTGACGGATAAATTCAGGAAAATGGATTTTACAAATCAAAAAATTTAAAAAGATTTTTAGAAACGAAAACCACAGAATATATGTATACGACTGATAAAAGTAAATTTCCTTGACACCTGATTTTTTGAATTACCGCTTGAATGCACCAAATTTTCGTACAATTAAAGCAGAAATTAACTTTTGCATGGTTATTCAAGCTAAAGATTTGCGCTACTTTATGGTGAGTGTGCCAGTGATCCTTACTTTCGTGCTGCCTCCTTCCACAGAAAAATGTGAGATGCATCACATATCCTCCGCTACTTATATAGTTCTCAGTTACCCTATTAAGAAACTATTCCATGCTCCCCACGACGACCCAACCTGTGGAATGAGACATACTAGGACTTCAGTGTACACAAATTTCCAAAAAACTGTATTCCTGGTGTAAATGGAGCGAGTGGTGCCAGGAAGAAAGTATTTT